CTGGGGCCTCTCCTACACCAAGGTCAGGGAAGATAACCAAGTGTCTCATATGGACTGAATTCCCAACTCAGATTTCAGAAGATTGAACAACTGTCTTAGTGGCACAAGTATTATTTTCCTCACTTCTACCTGGCATATATTTTTTGGCCTGCAGTTTTCCCTCCCCCACCTTCAGCCAGTGAAACTCCACCTGGAAGACGTATCTGGTGACTAAGGACACACATTCCTCTGCTTAGGGCAAACCAGCACACCCAGGAGAGTCAGCACACCAAAGCATCAGCACCCAGCTGAACCTGTTACACACAGCAAGCATGGCTAACATACTGACACATCACAACGTTTTACCAGGCTGTCATTCAGTTGTTAACCAAATACTTGCCCTTCCTTTCATTATGGATACTGCTTGGGAAAAGATCCAGTCAGTAGAGCCCGTCCTGGCGGAGATGGTGAAACTCCCAGCGGCTCCCACCTCTGCTTGGCTGCGCCCACGCTCCCCCCCCAACGTGATGGGCTCGCCCTGTGCATCACAGCACCCCAGTGGTACAGACGTTAATCTGTGCTCCCTACCGAAATACACAGGGGTTCAAGCACCCAGACACTGAGTAGGAACCACCTGGTGGCTGCTAAACCCAGTGCAGTCGGGTCAATGCCAGGACAGTTTTCAAAGCCATGGGGTAACCACTGGGTAATGGTGGATGCCAGGGCTACTCAAATACGTGAAGTCAGAGGTCAAAACTCTCAGTGCCTTCACCAGAACCACAACACTTCTTTGTACATTTTGTCCCCCGGTTCTAGTGCTTTTATGAGATTATTCTTACATATCTCACATGGTAAACCAGACTGAATCAACTGAGTTTTAAGTGGAAAGTGTTATGCCTTCAGCCATCCTCATTTGCTTCATCTGAGAAGAGCAGAAGGTCAATGGAATTTTTTTTTTTCCCCTAGCAGAAGATGCACCCTTGCGTGTCAAGCAATAGTTTACCCAGTTATTCAGGCCACTTGCTCTGTCAGCACCTCTCTTTGTAAAAATGTTTGTAAACAAAACCAAATTAATCCAGGTCATGAGCTGGTAGTCAACATACAATGTACCAGAGCAAGGAGAAGGTGACCAGCAGAATTAAGAGAAAAATAGGTAATTCTCTTTAAAGGAACTGCATGGGTAAAATGGCAGCACTTGAGCAGAGCAAGCATCAGACGCACGAGTGGGAACAGAAGCCACCATGTTCTGAACTCCTTGACCCTCCTAGAACTGCCCTCTGGGACAAACTGTGCTGAAATCCATCCAGGTATTTACCGAGACCCTGATATTTGCGTTAACTGACAGTGAGACACTGAACAGACAGTCTAACCTTAAATCTGAAACAGCTAAACAGCATTAGCCAAAACACAAGAAACCTTGTCATTTGAGAGCATGCAATTTTTAACTAAAAACCCTAAAATAATAGCTTTGGCAGTCCCAGATCCTTCAAAAATAAACGGTGCCTCCTATCCTCTACCACCAGCCTCATCTGCACATCCGGACGTGCTCGTCACCGTGCTCACCAGTCCTGCTCCCCATGCCAGCCTTCAGAGCCCATTACTGCTGTGAAGTAACTACCCAGCACAAATCCGCTGGGGCACGTTCTAAGGCCTCGCTCACCAATTCAGCCCATCTTCTTTCCCTGCTTCCTGCTGCACACATCCCTCTTTGTCGTTGCTGGCTCCCATCTAGACCCCAGTAGCCAGGAAAGGGTCACCAAGATAACTGTCGGACATCGGAGACGACGGTTGCGTTTCTGGTGCAAGTAATTGGCACATGAGTCGCAGACACAAAACACTCGCTGTGTTTAGGGGAACGGAGCCGCTGAATTACCTGTGGCAGAAAAACAAAAGGAGGGGGAAGAGAAAGTCCATTTCCAGCAAAGCCACTGTCATGCCCCAGACTTTTGACCCTGTTGCCATATGTTGAAGATCCATTATTCTCACCTCCCATATTACTTTAAATCAGGCTCTATTGCCCCAAAGACAGAAAAAATTATCTCTGTGGCCCAGAGCACAGAAGTCGGGGCATTCAGCACTGCAGGAGCAGGGAGACCAGCAGCAATGCCACAGCCCTCTGGGACTCCTCACACAGATGCCTGTCTCCAGCGACTGGAAGCCGGATGCTGCCATCTGTTGACAACTTCCCACTGCACCCACAGAGGTGTTCGCTCCTCAGCGCACCGCAGGCGCCTTGGAAGTTCCATCCTGCCCTTGAGCAGTGGCCCAAGGAGCCGTGGCAATCAGCATCCGCAATACCAATCAAGTATCCGGCAGCAGAAGCGAGAGCGGGCTGCATCCCGCAGATGGCTCACCAACCCTCTCCCAACGACTGCCCCCTTACCAAGGAATTCTCACGCATCGGGTTATGTTCCGACCCAGTTCTGCCACCTCTCTGCGAGCAGGTGACAAGGGACAATAGGCAGTGCAGCATCACCGTGGATGATCCACACCATAGTATGACCAGCCTCTCCACAGCACAACCGGCTTAGCAAGCAGCAGCAGACCTCCAGACGTCCAGGACGTCACCCCACATCTAGAAGGACGTGGAAATGAGACCACCACCTCCAGATTGGTCCAACATCAGACTGCAGCGTCTCCAGGACAGCACCAGGGGTAAACCTTGGTAATTCCAGGGTTTGCAGCACACGCTTTCCTCTGATGTCACCCACCCTCCCAGTTTACCCCGCATGAAGGTCCATTGTCTCTGTCCCACAAGGGACTCCCCCGTCATTAATGGCCCCCCTGCTCCCCAGGTACCAAACCCCTGCTCCACACTAACACTCTGTCCTGATTCCCAGCTGCAGCCCGCCCAGCACTTCCAGCATTGTGCTGTTTTCCCTCTTGCCTCTCCCTATTAATCCTTTTATTGCCCAAAATGAGTTAACTGTTGCCTTGCTCTCCCAAAGCACATGCCCTCAGCTCACAGAACCTCACCGAGCCTTAAAAACAAGAGGTGCAGCTGCTGCCGTGGGCTTCCTCCAAGCCCATTTTTACACGGGAGTGCTAATTCCCATTTAACGATTCTCCAAGTCTTTGGGCTGTGGGATGAACGAACAGCCTATTCCCAACTGGTCCATCAACTGAGAAGACCAGAAATTAACTTCAGAAGGCTCGGTGGTAGTAACAGACACGCACAGGTGAACCGGCCCAGAAAAAGTGACACATGGGTCCTGTATAAAATGGTCAGATAGAAGGGAACTTGAAGCCACAGTAAATTCACCTCAAGGAAGCCTTGAGGTGTCGTTGGCCGCCTTCCGGTATCAGGAACTTGTGTTCTGCTCTGGACTGACTACAAAACAAACATTTTGCAAAGAGGCACAGCGGAATCTCGATACGATCCCCAGGGTTACTCTGAGCAAGAGCTACAAAAGCTCGCTGTGTCAGTGCTTAGCACTGCAGGGTTATCTCCCCCCCATGACAGGGGGGTTGGAACTGGATGATCTTTAAGGTCCCATCCAACCCAAACCATGCTATGATTCTATGATCTCCACGACGGACAGAAAACTGACCTGTAACACAGCAGCTGGACTTCACAATAAAGGAGCCAGTCAGACTTTGAGACCGTAACTGCTCCCTGTACCCACCTTCAGCTAAGCACAGGGATGCCATCCGCAATCCATGCTCGGTGACCTTAACTGCCACGTGGCCAAGACCAAGCAGGTAACCCAGCCTCCCCTGCTCTCCCCAGTCCAGCTGCCAGCCTGGTACGGACACCGGCGTGCAGCAGCGGAACACTTGCTGAAAGCACTCGGACAGCTCTGTTGGGCCGTGCTCCCCTCGTTCCTCAGAGCACCACACCAGGTGAGGCTGTGCTGCTGGTCTGCAAGGAGTTAGGAGCCGCCAACCTCCTCTTCTCCATCAAACGACCGAACTCAAACAGGTTACAGTCACAGAGTTTAGGGACTTTGTGCCTGAAGAGAGCCACTTCCACCCCAAGAGCTTTGGGATGAAGCATCACCAACACACACCACTTCTAACTCGAGCAACTGTACCCGTCAAGCACCCGGACGCATCACCAAGCAGAATGGTTTCCAACTGTACCCACAAATTTAGCAGCTGCTCTCAGGCGTGTGGAAGCACACTACATTTCAACAGGCTCCTTCCTAACAACTCCGAAGAAAGCACAAGGCAAGGCATTCCCAACTGCTGCCGGAGGACAAGGCAGGCAGCCCAGGGAGCTTCCCAGCCTCTGCCACCCGCAAGCAGCACTTGAGCCGTGCCCACCTCCCGCGCTGCGCTGCAGACAGCAGTGCCTTGTACCACCAAGCACGTTACGCTGCCACACACCCAACACCTGCAGCGAAGGCCAACTGCTCGTTCAGTATAACCATTCGCTACCTCTAGATTCAGATACACTTATTTCCTCACTCCAAACACCTGAAGAAATCCCAAAGTTACATCTTCGTGACAATGTGCAAAGCAGCTGCACAGCAACTACCCTACCGCAAACCTTTCAAAGGAGAAATTTGAAGGAAAACCTTCACCTCCCTACCTCAGTTACTCCTTACCCTGCCAGATGTGGAGTGGGTTTTTGATCCAAAATCAATCTTCTACCACCTCAACTATTCCACAATCCCATATACCCTAACTTCTTAAACCATGGACAGGGAATATCCTCTGGCAAGGCATCGTGTACCGTTCATCCAAAAGGTGCAACTACAGTCACACGGATGTAACCACGGAGACTCGTGTATCCAAGGCCTGAGGCGATCCCACTGCGCAACAGCCGAGCGTGGTTTATGGTTAGAGCTCCCGCGCCGAGGCTGTTGTGCACAGCAACCTGTAACTGCCATTCCGGTGGTTACCAGGACAAGCACGTTCTATCATTAACGGAAAGAGCTGTGACGAGGGACGGCGCAGAACCCGAACGCCACGTGACGTGAAGCTGGAACTTAAGCACCACCGAAGAGCTGTCTGTTACAAGCTCTGTCACAGGGAGCGTTCCAACGTCATGAAAATACCAACTGGAAACAGTAGAGTCCATTTGAACAATTTATTAGTATCCTCTTTTTTTACAAGTTTTAGAAAAAGAATCCCAGGATCTTGCCTCCTGTGTGTTTTCGCCTCGCCTCCTCATGGTCCATGATGCCAGCTGAGGTCGTCAGTACAATGAACCTGCCAAGGAAGAACAAACGCTCAGTCTGTTGTTTCGCCCTGCGCTCGCAAGGAGCCAGCACCGCCAATTTCCCTGCTGCCTCACAACTGGAAGCCCTGTTGCTGTAGGAATAGGTCTAACCTGATCTTAATTCGGTTATCAGTCAATGAAAGAGACAATCCTCGCCCACGAACAACCCTGCAGCACACAAAGGACATTCACAGGCTCCTGTTCTCCAAATGTTTGCGGAAGCCCCAGCCAGAAGTTTTCCTGCACGTGCGTTCCCACTGTGGGGGCAGTTCAGCTGGCGTAGCAGCAGCACCTCTGCAGTTCCTACACAAAACCTGCTTCTATTTTAAGGAGACGTTTTTCTCCAGAGCAGGTAGAGTTGCCATGGTGCCAGACAGCTCCTCAACCCTGCGCGCTCTCTCTCAGCGTTTTGAACGCTGCGCTGACACGGCCTGAGGATACGGATCTGGATTGACAACCGAAGCAGCCTTAGAGGCTGCTAATGCCAACATCTGGGTTACTGGCATACTTCTTCCACACTGCTTCGTGCCCGAGAACCTCCACTGTACAAACACTCTTCCAAATCTCAGACCAACAACATCCCGAGCTGTACAGGTACAGCCAAGCAAATCACTAGAGCTGTGAACAGAAGTGACACAGAGGCGTTCATCCCACCTCTGGCAGGACGGACGAGCTGAGCCCCTGAAGACTCTTCATGCTCTCTCACCCTGGTGCACTGAGATTTAGCACTCGTGACTCAGTGATTTGGGAAGGAAAAATACACTACGCAACGGTAAGATTTTGTGTGTTGTGGAGGTTTAACAGAGGCCGAGTCTCTCGTCACCTGGTATCTATTCAATTCATAGACAAATCAGGAAGTTTAAACTAGTACAGCCTCCTTCCATCGACCCAGTAACTTACACAGCTCCTCCCCACCTATAAATGGCCACTAGTACAACTAAAATGAGTAAGAGGAAGCCCTGTTTTCCCCATACACTGTAGAAATGGTGACACCAGAGTCTGCCAAAGCCAAGCAGAAACAGGGCCTTGCTTAGCAGTACCCCTTTAGAACTGGTAAAAAAGAGCATTTATAGGGAAGATGGATTTTTAGACAGGTATCTACCTCCAGACTGATCACGGGAAAGGTTTCAGGCAAACCTAACTTGAGCAGTATAAAAGCATAATTAACCCCCTCCATTTTCCCATACAGCAGATCCAACTGTTCTCCACACTCACCCGAACTGACGTGAAGGCAGTAGGTTGTTCTGCCACTTTTCCAAATCCTTCAGCTGAACATCAAATCTGGGACTGATTACACCACACTGTAAAACAGAATTCCATTATGAACTGAAGAACTTTACGAACTGCATTTTCACACCTGTCATTCCAACCCAGCGAAAGGAGGAGTTCAACAACTGCACGAAAGTATTTTGGCAGAAAAAGGCTGGAGCGCCAAGAAACACACTCTATTACCCATAGTATGAAACAGCCCTTCCCCTCGGGTAAGCCAAGACTCCCACACAGCTACTTCCTTAGCCTTGCCCCTTCTTCCTCGCTTAACAGACTGACACTGCTGCTGAAGCTAAACTAACAAGTGAATGGCCAGACTAGGAGAGCACAGAAGCGTACTGTAACAACTAGGTATTACCTAGCATCTTATATCATCAACAAACTGAGATTACTCAGGGATATTCTCCTTCTAATCATACTTCTAGATTTTAACCAGGGAGAAATTAACATGGATAGAAGTTATCAAAGTTTGCACGTTAATTGCACCACTGACCATGACCACTACTACCACCTCCAGTTACCTCACTGCCTCCAATCATCGTAATAAATATCCAAGAGCAAGTACACCTGTGCACCAATGGACCTTTTTCTGAACCAAACGACTGTTTCCTTACTGCAACTTCTGTGAGAAAATTTGTACCCACCTGCGACCTGCAAGATCTGTTACATCAGCCTGACACACAGTATTTTTATTACAGACACCTAACACAAGTAACTTGGGCGGTGTCATAACTCTCTGCCTACTCCACTCAAGCATAGAATCATAGAATGGTTTGGGTGGGAAGGGGCCTTAAAGATCATCTAGTTCCCCCCCCCCTGCCATGGGCAGGGACACCTTGCACTAGACCAGGTTGCTCCAAGCCTCATCCCGCCTGGCCTTGAAGACATCCAGGGATGCGGCATCCACAGCTTCTCTGGGCAACCTGTGCCAGTGCCGCACCACCCTCTCCGGGAAGAATGCCTTCCTGATATCTAATCTAAACCTCCCTGTTTTCAATTTGTACCCATTACTCCTTGTCCTATCACTACAGGCCCTTGTAAAAAGTCCTCTCCCAGCACCCTTGTAGGCCCCCTTCAGATACTGGAAAGCTGCAATGAGGTTTCCTCGGAGCCTCCTCTTCTCCAGGATGAACAAGCCCAATTCCTGCAGCCTTTCAAGCAATTTTCAGCTGTAATATTTGTCCATCACGCAAGCAGCCCCCAACCTATTTTAACCAAGTAATTTATTTCTTTACTAAAGAGCCACCTCTCTCTTGACTAGTTGAACTGAAAGAGCGGTGCACAGCAACTGCACAGCTCAATCCTGAGACAAAAATTTCACACGCTTCCAAAACACACGACTACTTCGTACACCCCAGGCACCTGAAGAGCACTAATTAAAAGAACACTCAACTTCCCTCAACTGCAAGCAAAGCCCATCGAGCAGCAAGAGAAAGGCCTGTCTTCTCAACATTTACAGGTATTAAACAGCAACTGGAAACCAACTCAGTTTCTGTCTCTTAAGACAAGTCGCCTAGATAGGTTAAACAGCAAAGAAACCAAGTAGCCAGAGCACCTTTAAAGAAACACTTCCGAACAGACTTCCCTGAAAACATGTCTTATACACTCGGAGTTTAAAAGAAACGTTATCAGTCAACCATACCGGTACAATCTACAAAAATTAACAAGCATTTAATGACCACTGATAACACCCACATTACTCTCATTTACATGGATTACCACCTGCGTTACTACAAATACTTCTTTGAGAACTGCAGCAAACTTTAAAAGTCTCATTTAAACACCTCCCTAGAGGACTGAATTGTGGAAGACAAATCCTACCTTGTTGAGTCTGCCTGTGAGATTGACAACAATCTTCCCAGCTCTGTGATCATCAATTATCTCAAATTCACCAATGTAACCTACAAAAGATTAGCACACAGACCAATCAAACACATGACACTTAGCCACATTAACACAACTCCGTTAACCATGTCACACAGAACTAGCCCAAGCATCCTGCTTTACTTTTAGTCAAAAAGCACATCAACACAACAGCACCCACAAATGAGAAACAAGTCAGCGCTGCAGACTTACCGTGCTTCATCATCACAGTTAAAAACCGGACGATTACTTTGGAGCACGGCCTAATGAGAACTTGGCGTTTCCCACGTTTCTCTGCGTTGTTGATGCTTTTGAGAGCATCGGCCAGAACATTCATGCGCACCATGGTGCCTGCAGGAAGAGGAGAGGCAGTTACGTACCCCAGTATTTCAGCACAGAACTACTGTGCAGCACACTTATTTAAGGTTAATTTTAGACCTAAAAAATTTAAGAGTGACAGAAAACTATATTAAACCTTAAAGAGCATTCTTAGGCTAAAAAGCAGATCATGCCACGGACTCAGGTATGCCCAAAAGGGTTCACGAGGACCAGAACAGGTTAGGAAACCTGACATGTTTATTTAACTTGGATTTATCAACATGCACTCACAAAGACTTAAAAACACCATTTCATCAGTATGACACCTTTCCCAGGTGACGCGTTTTGGACTTTAAAACCCAATTATGCAGTATCAGCCCTCTTCAAAAACTAGGCCATACATGGTATTTAATACAGTAGACGCTGCTCAGCTTATCTGCAACAAAACTGCAGGACGAAAGTGGAGCACAGCACTCTGAAAAGGAAACCAAGCATCAACTCTTGCATTCTCGTGACAAAGACAAGAGCCCCCCGAGCACCACAAGGCATGACAAAACTCGATACAAACGCCTCACGACCAGAGCCAGCGTACTGCCTGCCAGACCTAGCCAAGAGCTGCTCCTAGCCAAGACCTAGCTCCAATAGCTGCCGGGCCACGGGACCATTCCCGGGGTGGCCAGGTCCTGCGGCACAAGAGTGCCTTCCCCACTAAGCCAGGGACCCCCGAACACGCAGGCCTGACGACCAGCTCCTGACCACAGGGCGACTGCAGCCCGACTCCCGCCCTGAGGGCCGCCTCCTCTCCCAAGGCCCAGC